TTCACAGTTCGTAGGACTGTGTATTGTGTCGTGGTTTCGCGGTAACGAATGGGTACAAATACCGGTATTATACCGGTATTATAATTTTTTATTTTTAACTCACAGACGATGGCAAGCGAGGTTCTTACCGGTATCGGTAACGTGGCTGAGCGGTCGGCGGGTGTGCTGTCTCCTTTTTTTTAATAGGGGACACCAAGGCGGGATGAGCCTTTGCTGCGCGATAGGCCCCACCAAACGCTCACTTGCGATTTTGCTGCCTCGATAAAGCGGCGATGGGCAGCAAGAAGCGAGGTCGAGAGGATTCAGATGACTCTGATTGCGACCTTCTGAAGCACTTGAATGAGGCTCATCAAGCAGCAGTTCACCGAGTTCACGAGCAAGCAACACAGGATAGTGTTAGCGTGGTGAAGACTGACAACAGCGACACTGCCAGTGAAAGTTCAGATAGCGACGATTTGCTTGCCTTTTTGGATGATGAGCGACGCAAGGAGCTAAATCGACTGCGAAAGCGGAAGTACATGAATAAGCTCAAATCTAGTAAGGATAAGAGCGCAAGCAAGCATTTAGAAACCAAGAATGCCAGCAGTGGTTTTGAGAACGAGCTTAGTGCTGAGGAGCGCACAGAATGCTTAGAGCATCTTCGAAGGGCCCTTGGAGCTGAAGGGCTCGATGAATGCGCTTGTGTTGTGTGTGATCGATTGGGTCTCCGCCAAGAATCCCGGCGTGTCGAGGATGTGGACTTGACCTATCTGAAGAAGATGAAAAGGAGCCTCCACGTTGAGACGGCAAACCTGCCGAATACCCTGGTTGAACAATATCGGTGTCCAAGTTGCTTGTCAGATCTCAGTGGACTAATGGTTTCTCCTCGTGGAATAAATACCTACACTGATGACAATAACTATTCACGTGCGTGGCTTTCCGTGTGTAGAGAATGCGATCGATCTATTCAGCGTGGCCGGCTCCCTAAATTTGCGATTGCCAATGGCTTTTTCGTGGGACGTCTACCACACAAACATCGGGACTTGACGGTTCCAGAGCGTTTGATGACGCAGCTAACAAATGTCGTTGCAATGACTCGCGTAATGCGAGGTGGTCACCACAGATGCATTCGCTCCCATTGCATCGCGTTCGACTGCACGCCTGGCCCACCCGTCACACTGTTGCCTCGATCACTGGAAGATGTTGCATCGTACCGCGTAGTACTTATTGGTGACTTTACAGCGGCCCAACTGGAGCAAGTACGCAAACTGCATCGCATTAGGAACGGAGCGGTTCGAGACTTGTTTGCTTTCTACAAGATAAACAATCATTTGTACGCCGAAATCGCAGAAAGTGATCCTGCAGAAAATAGCGAGTACACGGATGCTGATCTTGAAGCAGCATTTGTCGAGTACGTCCCGGACGACGAAGGTTCAATTGGTGGAGAAATGGATAGAGAGCAACAAAATATTCGTGGGGAATCCGACGCATGGCGTGTGATGTGTAAAACTAACGAATGCAGTGTACTGGAGCGGTGAATTGGTTTGGCTAATACTGGAACATCTGTAGCAGTACGAGAACTTCCTGTACTATCACAAGCTGGTAGAAATAGAGAACGTGAGCGTGAATTTGAGGTTCGAAGATCAAGTTTCTTTGCAAATGACATTTCTGGAACATTGTTGGCACGAATATTCCCGGAACTATTTCCTTTTGGGCGCGGGCACCCAGGCGAGCAGCGGCATGTCAAAGTGTCCGTGCAGGAATGTATCAAATATTACACGATGCTGAGTGAGCGGCAATTCGCTGAGGATGCGCTGTTTACATTGGTTGCTTTTGACAAGATCTCCATGATGAGTATGTATATCCAGAATCACGTTCGTTGTCAAAGGTTTCCGCATCTCCTGGAAGGGTATGATCGACTCACCAGCGAGCAGTTAGGAAAAGCTCTGCTCGAGAATGAAAGGCGACTCCAAGGGTGCTTACCATGGAGGCAGGCGGACAACTCTGTCGCTCAAAAATTTCTTAAGACGGTAGAGATTGGTTCACGCTCGGTGTGGGGCAGCAATGCTGAAAGGTCTCAGTGTCGTCACAAGGCGTTTGCCTACCAGACTAGGTTCGGACAGCCAGCTTTGTTCGTAACGTTGACCCCAAATTCCGACAATTCACTTGTGCTGGCCCATTACACTGGAGTTCTATCTGTCGATTCCTTGTTCGATTTACTGGAAGCTCGGCTTCCTACAAAAGCGGAATTACGTGAAGCCAGCAGAGAGAATGACTGCGCGTCAGCACGTCTCTTCATGAGGCACGTGGATGCCTTTATTCGTCATGCGTTAGGCATCGACCCGCGAACACGGAAAAAATTATCATATCGTGGTTTACTTGGTGACGTCAAGGCCTACTTTGGGATGGTGGAAAGCCAAGGACGTGGTACTTTGCATATCCACTTACTAATCTGGCTAAATCACTGCCCTCCGAATTCGACTGCTGTCATGAAAATCTTAGGTTCACCTCAAGGAAATGTATTTCGTGAGCGAGTCGCATCCTATGCCGATAGTATCGTACAAAACGATCTACCTATCTCTCTCGATAACTACAACTGCTCAAGTTGTGGGGCTTCTCATGAACGTCTCATTGGACTTCAGATACCCGAGCAGGCCCGAAAGGATCCGACGGGAAGGTCCACTAAAAATCGTTCTCGTTACCGATCTGCAGAGCCTGCACTTGTAGCATGTGGTCGTTGCGGTGCCCAGTTTAGCTCCCAGCACCTCATTCGCAATGCATTGCTGAAGGCGCGGCCGGAATGCTGGCCCATTTGGCGACAACCGTTGTCACCTAACGAAATTGAACAGCAGGCAGTGGCCGAAAGTGTTTGTCGTAGCACGAAGAAGAAAGCGGTGGACATTATATGCGATCGTGAGTCCGTGCACGCGAGCTACTGTTGTGACCTGTCAATTCGTGAGCGTGAAAAGCTTACTGCAGACCTACTGCATCAGGCCAATCACCGGCAAATGCCACTTTGCAAGGCGGATGATGACCCATTTCGAAATGACACGCTTGCTCGCTTACTAGAAATATCACCTCCATCTACTTCTGATGCGAGGATGGCGCAGCAAGCCCAGGAT